AAAAAGACAGAATACCAACTGATAAACTTATAAAAAATAATGAAGGAATGCTTTATACATCTTGTGATTAAAACTTTTTTTTCAGAAAAATATTCGTATTTAATTAGAGGTAAGGCACATCAGCGTAAATGACGTCCATTTGTATAGGATGCAGGTTCGAATTTTGTCAAAGAACGAATATTTCTTGAAAATTTCTCGGACATTCAGGCCGGTAAATGTTTATTTTTTTAAAACTTTTATTATAAACAGAGCATTTGCTTAAAAATATTTGTATTTATAAAAAAGAACGTTAAACATAAAAATGTCTTTAATAAATAAATTGTCGGACCATGTCCATTTCTTAATATATGAAGATGTATATGAAGAAATATATATATATATATATACTGTTATAATTATTTTAAAGATGCATGTACGTGTTCTATTCTAATTAAAAAAAAATTATCTGTTACGTCATCAATCGATGTTTTGTTTGTTTTGAAATCAAAAGGAGTTAACTTTATTTTATATATTGTAATTTCTTATATATTTAAATTTTTAAAGCATTTCCCTTATAGACTTTTTAAAACATTGTTTCTATACTCATAACTAACCTTATTTAATGTTTGTATATATATATATATATATATATATATATATATATATAAATGGTGGTACTCGTTTCGGAAAACCTCGGATAGCTCAACTTGCAGTAGAACAGATCGGTACCTGAGGAAAAATGGCGAATAAAAAAAAAAAGAACCAAGAACATTAAAACAAGGCGAAGACAATCGTAAATGTGTTTAAAATCCAAGTCCAAAGGAAAAAAAATTCCTGAAAAATGAAAAAAGAAACGGCGTAAAGTGCTCAATACACAAATAGGCCAAACCTAAGATAATCCCCAAAGATTACTTTATTTTATATATATATATATATATATATATATATATATATATATATATAATATATATTTTTATTTTTAAAATCAAAATTGTGGTTGAATTTATTTATATATATGTATTTATGTGTATTAGCTAAATTGTTTTTGTAAGGTCTCTTTTGTGCTCATAAATGCTTTTTTTTTACAAATTTCTACTTGTTTCTCCAATATATTAGAAGGAATAGTTTTAGCAATTTATTTTATAAATGCCTGCTTCAGAAAATATTAATTGCTATTAGTGTTTGAGGATCTGAGTATATCCATAATGGTTTTGGAAGTGTTTGTGACTATTTTAAGATTATTTAGATGGGATAGGTTATTGTGGATATATGGATTGACAGAATTGGTCGGTTTATTATGTATCTGTTTTCATGTATATTCAAATTTATGAATCGTTTATACACTCATAAAAAAAGATAATAACTCACTCAGAAGGAAAATCCTCGAGAGTGCCGTCATTGAATATTACCCAAATATTAACCTACGACCAGGCTTTTTCCCTATTTCACCATTCTTAACAGAATTGCTGCTCTCCCAAATAAACGTACAGAACAGTATCAAGAAAGGAAAATGGTTGAATCCGTCAATACAGCAATAAGAACAATATCTTCATACGTGACAGTAAATGACGTAATTTTCAGTTAACAGTATGAAAATAGCGTTCTCTAAATTCTTCCAGTCGCTAAGGACATTTTGTTTTGTTATTATTAGTTACTTTGTTTAATAAATTCATTCGTTTTAAAATTTGTCCAAAAGTAATTCGTAAATACTATTACAGTTTTCCGATTGTCTTTTACATATATGTTGTGGTCCAGGTTAGGACCAAGGTAGAACAACACGAACACAAGAGTAGAAATAACGAAGGTATATTACACGAAATAATAATACAAGATGTGGAAGGTGTTAGTATGATTGTCAGTCTGGTCGATTTTGAACTACTATCGGATCGACACGATTCAGTATCTAACCCCCCACGAGAGGTATGCATGTGGCACAAGGCCGAGTTTTTATGGGTTTTAATAGCCCGTAGATTCGGTATAAAAAATGCCCGTAGTTAATATAATCAAGGAAAGGATTGAAATTTGGTTTCAACGAACGTTCAAATTTCGGCGGAACCTCGATTTGAAATATATTCTCTCTTAATGTAGTATACATACTCGTTAGGAAAAGTTCTTTAGTAGTTATAGGTAAGGACCCATGACAAATATATATATATATATATATATATATATATATATATATATATATATATATATGAGTTTGGTTTAAAAAACTAAATAGTGAAAGCGTTTAATCCTGTGAAGAAATATTAACAAGGAAAATGGGATTTTAATTGATAAAATTTCTAATTTTATATGGGATATTCCTAGCAGGGCGATCTTCTGGGTAACTTATATGTTGATGTTACCTGGGACACTGTTAGTAAAATTGTCCATTCCTTTTCTCACGAGGCCCAGATCTCCGATTACTATTGATACGGTCTCAGTATTTATTATATATTCCTTTTAATCTCGATCTATCACCAGGTGCTTATATTTGGACAAATTAATCGATAATTTTCACTTTTTGTTTCTTTCAGATGTTACTATTTATGTGAAATAAACATACACTTCCTGAAATTTTTTCTTTTATGATAAAATCTGGTCTTTAACACTTTTTATTTCCCTGTCAGTTTGAATTGGCATGTCCCAGAGGATAGTTACATCGTTATTTTTGTAATTAAAAATATTTTTTTTTATACCAAAAAATTTTTTTTTTCGATTTTGTGCTTTTGCATATCTTCCAGTAAAATATATTGCCAACGTTGTTATCTCTGCAAGTATAAAATTTTTTACCAGTTCCGGACACATGGTAAACAGCCAGAAGATTTAACAAATTAATTTTTATATCATTTTTTAAACAAATTACTTAAAAACAATAATAAAGTTACTAAATTATTATTATTATTGTTTATTATTATTATTTTTTTTGATTTCTGGCGTTTAAATATTTTTCCAGGAAGAATTAAGGGAATTATTTTAGAAATGGCGTGCCAAAATTATTTCCAAAAAAAAAAAAAATAAAAAAAAAGAAATTAAATTACATAGATAAAGCCCTTCGTAAAAGTTTGTTTGTACTTGTCAGAACAAATTTTTGATTCCTTGAGGCATAATTAAAGGAATATATTTCAATTTAGTCTACTGGAATCTTTTTCAACCAGTCCTAATACATTAAAATAAAAAAAAGGGATTGTTGATGTTTAGATATGCCACATTTTTCGAATTTCTATTTCATGGTTCAAATTTTTGACAATTATCATTATTATCATTATTATATATTATCGCTTATTTTCGGGTTTTATGTGTTCATTCGCTTTTGAACGAATTTTTTATTACTTTAACTTTATATGTTTATTTTAAACTAGGAAGTGGTAGTTTAATGGACTTATGTCTTCTGCAGAAAAACTGCGTAAACGGTTTTGAGTGCAAAAGGAGGCAAGAAATTGTGGAGAATCATAAGTCAGTCTATGTATTAATTTATTGTGATTTTTGCCCTACAAGAGATACATCCAAAATTAAATAATCCACCAAGTCTCGATATATTGTTAAATTAACCAATTTAATGTTTTCATAAAATATCCGAGCGAACTTTTATCACGCCTCGAGTACTTTGCGCAGAATTCTTTTTCGCTTTGTTTTTTTTTGTTTGTTTGTTTGTTTCAGCGTTTTATTCAACCGACACTATTGCTCACCGGAGCGCAACATAGCAACATTCTGTGCGGGTTCAAGCATTACTTAATAAATTGAATAATTTAATTCTAGGAAATATAAAGACGAAATTATTTTATCCCCTATAGAAAACAAAGGCTAATGCAATTTCCTCTTCTGTGATTGAAGTGCGAAGAAAAGAAAGCGTTTGGAATCTGGTGTCCTTTTTGCTGAGTCTTTGCTGTCTTTCAGGAATTAACAAAAAAAAAAATTTCGTAAAAAAAAATAAAGTGATCTTGGACTGCATTTCTTTTTTAAATTTGTATTCATCAGAAGTAAATTTGTTAGCGATGCATTTTCAGATTTTATGAAAACTTTTAGCATCAAGGCATACGTCTATATCATGGAAATTTCTAGTTCTGGTACGATTATGTTGTTTTTAACGTCGAATTTGTTCAGTTTTCAGAAAAAAACCGTTTGAAATACGAGGTGCTGTATTTTGGATGCTTGGTATAATTTTTACGGCCAAATCACTTTGAATCATAAGGTTATTTAGGGATCACTGAAGTTTTGAAGGAAAGATCGGGCCTGGAAAGTATTTAAATGAATGATAGCTTGGTAATTTAGGTGCTGTAAGCTTGAATGTTCGGTAGGTATAGTGTGTTTACGGTCATATCACGTTGAGCCATCAGTTCCCGGATGATCATTGAAGTGAAGCAACGTCGAGCCTGGTCAGTATTTAGATGGGTGACTTTACTTGGTAATATCAGGTGCTGTATTTTTGAATGTTTCTAAATATATTTTCTTTTTACGGTAAATATCACGTTGAGTCATCAGTTCCCGGATGATCATTGAAGTGAATCCAACGTGATTTGGTTTTTATTTAGATGGCATATTGACCGCTTGAATTCCAGGTATATATAATATTCAAATGTTCGGTAGGTATAGTGTGTTTACGGTCATATCACGTTGAGCCATCAGTTCCCGGATGATCATTGAATTTGGCTAACGTCGAGCCTGGGTCATGTTTTAGATGGGTGACCGCTTGAAATTCCAGTTGCTGTAATTGGATGTTCGGTAAGGTCATAGTGTGTTTTTTAAATCACGTTGAGCCATCAGTTCCCGGATGATCATTGATTATGAAGCCCAACGTCGAGCCTGAAAAGTATTTATTTTCATGGGTGACATTCTTCGGAATTCCAGGTGCCATGAAATTTGGATGTTTCATTTTATAAATGTGTTTACGGTCATATTTCGTTGTAGCCATCAGTTCCCGGATGATCATTGAAGTGAAGCAACGTCGAGCCTGGTAAGTATTTAAATTAAAACCAAAATTTTTCCATAATATGTAATTTTGGATGTTATTTAGGTATGGTGTGTTTAAAAAATATCACGTTGAGACACCAGTTCCCGGATGATCACTGAAGTGAAGCAACATCAAGCCTGGTCAGTAGTTAGATGGGTGACCGCTTCGGAATAACAGGTGCTGTAAGCAGGAACGTTCGATAGGTATAATAGTTTTACGGCGACATCACGTTGAAACAAAAATGAAAAAGGATCATTGAAGAAAAGCAACGTCGAACCTGGTCAGTATTCAGATGGGTTTAAAAATGAGGACCGGTTGCTGTTTTTTAGATTTTCGCGATGTATTTTGATTTTGCCATATCACGTTGAAACACTAGTTTTTGTAAGACCCCATCCTGTACGTATTTTAATAACGTCGAACCTGGTCAATATCTATACTAAATGACTTTACAAAAAAAAAAAAAAGGAAATTGTACATTTGCATGTTTAGGTGGTATAATGTCATTAACAATATATCTTGTTGAAACACCGGTTCTCGTACGACCATCAAGTTAAAATGGAGTACTTGTCTGATTAAGACAAGACAGATTGGTATCAAAATGACAATTTAAAAAAAATCTTAGAGCGAACAAATGACAATGTTTCGTCTTCTGATTTTTTCAAAAAAAAATGAAATCGAAATGTTTTTGTTGTTATAGTTATATAAAAAATCCAAATTTAAAATGATAGAACGCTTCTGTCTAAGCCTTTATTTTTTGGTTAATGTAAATTACCTTTATAAAGAGTGATTTTTTTCCATGTCGACAAATATAGTTAAATTCCCAGATGAATCTATATATATATATATAAATATATATATATATATATATATATATATATATATATATATAAGTAATGAGTATGTATTCAAAAATAGAAAAGAACCACGTTGGGTGCATAATCCGGGGTTCTTTAGTATTTTTGTTTTTATTTTTAAGAAGATAGTGCTCCATACATAAGTATATATATATTATAATAATATTTTTTGTTAAAAAAATATGATTCCTTCGCTACATAAGAGCTCTCATGTTTCAAAAACGAGAGCCGAAATATCCAAATAATTATTAAAATTAAGTTGAATTGAGGTGTTTAGTCCCGTTTCATCTTCAAGCGAAAATTTAGGAATAAGCTATCTATCGGTTTACGTGTATTTTTAGGCCCGGTCATTTTGGAATTCGTTGTTGTGGAAGTGGCTAGACTATTTTCCATCGTTAAGTGGTCAGAGAGTTAATTCTTATCAATAGATTCATCATCTTCTAAGAGGTTTTGGTAAGGTTGAATAGGGTATTTATTTCAAGGCTAATGTTTGCGGTCACCCTTTAGTTAGTTCCCAGTGAGGGATATTTTTATGGCGCGCCTCCAATCGTTATGTGTCTGGGGAATTGTCTTTTATTATTGTCCATCTGATTATCTATTTATTTATTTGTTTATTCAAGTGGGTGTTTTATATACAATACATACATTGCACTGAATTTCAATTTTTTTTTTTTTTTTTTGACGACTACAAAAAGGGTTTTTCCTATTTAATGATTTGGCTTAGCTTTTAAGAATTTTACTTAGCTATGGGATTTTTTATATGCTAATTATTTAATGCGAAAGTTTGTTGATGTCTGCAAAAAACCATTAACTCCTGCCTATGGTTTAATAATTTTTCATTATTTAGAAATTTAATGATGTGTAGTTTTTCCTGTAAGCATAAAGGGCATGGGTCATCCCAGGTCTTACAGGTTCTTGTTTTATTTATTATTTTCCATTTTACTTTTGGTGTTTTATTCGTTTCTTTTAGATGCCAGAAATATTAGGATAGAGATGTTTGATTTCTATTTTGAATATTGTTGAAGGAGCTCTTGTGTTGCCTCCAACTAATTTTAAAATTATTCTTTGTTGAGCCTATGTATATCCTATCAGTGTTAGGACTCGCAATGGATGAGATAGCGCACTGGTATCCCACAGATTTTGTGAGGCATTTATTTTCCAACGGGCAGTCTTTAGGGTTTCTACAATCACATAATTTTTCGTTATTTTTATCCAATTTTAGTTTATGTGTTTTATTACTGTTTTGGTTTACGTGTTTTTCTAGGATTTTCTTATTATGTCTTTTTATGATTCTTTCTATATTTTCAGTGCAGCTATAACTCAATTTCTAGGTGTTTTTGTTAAAGATGTCGCTAAGTTTGCTATTAGTGGGAAAGTGCTTTTCAATTAAAGCTAAGAACTTATGGCCTAGTTTGGTGCTGACCAGTTGGTTGTACGTAGGGGTATACCAGATGATCTTTCTTTTCCTGTTTTTCTTATTATTGGTACTATCGTTTTTATAGATTATGTCAGCGTTTTTGCGCGTTGGTTCTTTTTGATTTTGTCAACTGCACAGTATAGTAAGGTCAGTTGGGCATTGTCTGTGAGAAAAAGTGCAACATGACGCATTTCACACCGCCAGAAATTTAAAAACAGCGTGCTGTACTGCTTGGCATTCGCACCAGAAACTCCAATACATTTCAGAATGTTTGTGTCTCAATCCGAGGAAAGTGCAAAGGATTCAGAAAGAGTTGGATGAGTCTAATTGTGATTACGAATGCGTTTGGCTTGACGACTAGTGATGGTGAAGCTATGCCTACATTCATCTCCCCAGAGGACCCCAGACTCAACACGGGGGCCTACATCAAGTGCCTTAAGAAGGTACTGCTGCTCTGAGTCAAGAGGGTGACTGCTGGAAAACCCTATACCTAGCAACAGGACACTGCACCATGCCACACAAGCAGAAGAAATTGTCTGATACCCATGGTATCAGACAATTTCTTCGGTCACATCACCCCTGACATCTGGTCACCTAACTCCCCAGACTGCAAACCCCCTTGATTATTATTGAGCGATAGACCGACAAAACTCTTTATAACACCAAAGATGAGCGGAAGGCATAGATTATGGCAGCATTCGCCAACTTAATCAAGGAGACTGTCTAGAAGAGTTGCAGGAGATTCCCAAGTTGTCTAAAGGCCGTAGTTGAAGCCAATGGCGATTTCATCAAATAAATTTATTCTTTAGTATTTCAATATATTTTTGTGTCATTTTGGTAAATATATCTGTTGAAATGAGATGTCAGTGTTATTTTCATTTTTGCGTAATTTAGACGATAATAAGTCGTTTCGTTTCGTTTCAAAGATTCTTCAATTATTCCTAAATATATCAAAAATAAAACTCGCCTTTACGTCGTTAACATATTAGAAATGTCAAAACATGAAAATAACAATAAACATATATAAAATGACATTTAACCAAAATTTAAAATAATATTATATATATATGCATATATATCATAAAATCATCAAAAGCAAAACAGTTATCATAATAAATTATATTTAGCATAAGGTTTTTATATGAAATTCCTGCCGACAGGCGGCACTCTTTCGTTGTTTTCCTCTCCAACAACGATTTTGAATTCAGACTCGTTTACATCTGTGCCCTGCCGTTGACGTTGTGATTGAGAATACATTTTTATTCATGGCCCCCGAAGAAAAGTCCCAGTGCAAGTGCTAATGCTAAGCGTAATTTTTAACTGGAAGATAAGATGGAAATTAATTATTTTATTCAGAATACCCTACGTACATATAATAAATACTGTAATAGGAAATGCGGAGTGCTTATTTGCGGTTTATAGCATGGTTATTTTGACTGAAGTCGTTTTTCTACCTAAGTCCTGACCCCTGGAACCAATGGTGAGGTATACGTGTATATATATATTTTTTATTATACTTAATTGTTTCTTCCTCCGATTTTGGTGTCAAAATGTCCGTTCTCTTTTAAATACTCGCTTAATTATGGTATATCCAATTTGTAATCCGAATATTACGTTATTTTACTGACAACCATAGATTCTGTCTTCTTACAATTTGTGCTTAGTCCTTTCTTCTCGCTTTCCCCCTTACTTTCTGTTGAAGTTCTTGCAGTTTCCTCTTTGTGCTTGCCATAAATACAGTGGCAACGGCATATCTCGCGCTGTTAAGTTTGTGGTCGACAATAATGAATCATAGTAAGACTTCTAATTCTCCCAGAATCATCTCATAGGTTGAATGCCTGATGAGAAGACACATCCTTTTCCTACACTATGTTAGGGCAGAAGTTTCTACATTTAAATGAGAAATACTTCCCCAGAAATAATAGATTTAGTAAGATGTTTAACCGAAATAAGCTAATATTAAGCTATAGCTATACCGATAATATAAAAAGAAATTTAAATAGAAAAATAATAAAATTTTAACTAAATAATTAAGTAATAATAGCCATTTCAATGCAACAAACGTAGATAATAGCAACATGTGTAATTGTAGAAAAGCTAACGAATATCCATTGTAAAACCGATGTCAAACAGACTCACTTGTTTACCTCAGCACTATTTCTGCTATAAAAAATCCAACAGTTAAAAAACTTTATACTGGGAGTACCAAGAATTCACTTAAAATTAGTGGTACTAACATGTATTATCTTCCTCCAGTAAAGCGTACAGAAATAAGTCGTCACTTTTTAAATATGTTTGAAATTTAATAGAAGTTGATAAAACCCCTGCGGTAAAATGGGAAATATAAAAAAATAAACAACAAAAAAATAAATAAAATAAAAACAAACTAGAACTTGTAAATCTTTAAATGAAAGTTGCTTCTGATGTTTACATGAAAAACTACAAGTTATCAAATTTTCTAAGAAAAATCCCTATTAAACCAAAGGAGGGAATTAACTGTAAATTGCCGACAGAGTTTATCTTTCACCTTGAAATACAGTTAAATTTTAAAAAATTACGTATTACCATTTCTTATAACGATAATTTATTAGCATATATATATCTATAGGTATGTAAAAAATGTATGTAAAAATAAATATATATATATATATATATATATATATGAAAGAAAAGAAAAAAGATTAAGTAGCAAAGAATAAATAACGAATAACTACAGAAAATTACATGAGAAAGAATAAATAAATGATTAGCAATAAATAAGTAAAGAAAAATATACGAGAAAGAAAAAAATGAAAATATATGAGAAAGAAAAAAATGAAAATATATGAGAAAGAAAAAAATGAAAATATATGAGAAAGAAAAAAATGAAAATATATGAGAAAGAAAAAAAAAAATGAAAATATAGGAAGAAAGAAAAAAAATGAAAATATGAGAAAGAAAAAAATGAAAATATAAAGAAAGAAAAAAAAATGAGAAGCAAAGGATAAATAAAGAAAAATACATAAGAAAGAAAGAAAAATAAGAGGCGAAAAAGAAAGAAAGAAAGAAAGAAAGAAAGAAAGAAAGAAGGAAGATCATGGCAACGAAAGAAAGAAAGTATCTGAAAGGAAGAAAAAGAAAGAAAGAATGAAAGAAAGAAAATCATGTAAAAGAAAGAAAGACTCCAAGAGTAAAGGAAGAAAGAACATTTAGCAAAAGAAAGAAAGAAAGAAAGAAAGAAAGAAAGAAAGAAAGAAAGAAAGAAAGATAGAACAGAATACAACAGGAAGAAAGAAGAAAGAAAGAAAGAAAGAAAGAAAGAAAGAAAGAAAAAATGATAGAATAGAATACAATAGAAAGAAAGAAGTAAGGAATTAATGAATGAAAGAAAGAAAGAAAGAAAGGAAAGAAGGAAGTACAAGAGAATGCAAAAGAAAGAAAGAAAGAAAGAAAGAAAGAAAGAAAGATAGAACAGAATACAACAGGAAGAAAGAAGAAAGAAAGAAAGAAAGAAAGAAAGAAAAAATGATAGAATAGAATACAATAGAAAGAAAGAAGTAAGGAATAAATGAATGAAAGAAAGAAAGAAAGAAAGAAAGAAAGAAAAAAGGATAGAATAGAATACAATAGAAAGAAAGAAGGAAGGAATTAATGAATGAAAGAAAGAAAGAAAGAATAAAGGAAAGAAGGAAGTACAAGAGAATGCAAAAGAAAGAAAGAAAGAAAGAAAGAAAGAAAGAAAGAAAGAAAGAAAAAAGGATAGAATAGAATACAATGGAAAGAAAGAAGGAAGGAAGGAATGAAAGACAGAAAGAAAGAAAGAAAGAAAGAAAAAGAAAAAGAAAAAGAGAAATGAAAACGTAAGCAAGATAGAATGAGCCACGAAGACTAAATAAAGAAAAAGAAATGGAAGAGAAAGATGTGTTTAGCGAAGTAGAAATGAATAAAAGGACATGAAAGGAAGAATGAGTAAGAAAGATGAAGTAAAGAAAAAGATATGAAAAAGAAAGAAAAAATAAACAAAGACAGAAACAGCAAATATTGGTAATGAAGAATTAAACGAATAAAAAAAAACAAAAAACAGAATCAATTATTGGTTAAAAAAAAAAGACATCGTAGAAAATGAATGAAAAACAATAAATAAATTCTTCTATTTATTTGCAAATTTCGAAAAACTCTCGTGTCCGAGATTGTCACGGGAAAAAATGACAGTCAAGCAGATCCATAAGATATATCCACTGCCTAAATTGAAAACATTATTGCATGTTTTATCTTCAAGATATTTAATGTTGGCGGGAAAATTGAGCAGCACTGACAAGTGAAGACGTAATGATGGCGGCCATGAAATCAGGTGAGGCGTTAATTTAATTTATATATATATATATATATATATATATATATATATATATATATATATATATATATATTTCAAGCCAAGACCCGTGAATGGCATGCAACTAAATATTATAGATACTATTTTCTCTCCCTTGATTCTCGACCATAGCAACCATTATCTGGGCTCTAACTCTTGGGAAACTTAAGAAAAAATAAAAGTGTGTTGGTTTCCATGGCCAGAATTTTAAATTGATGAAGAAAGATTTTTCTTTCGGATGGCACAGAAAAAAATGAGAAAAAAAATGTTTGATTTTTTTCTTTCATTTATCTATTTTTTTTTTATCTCTTCTCAAAGTGATTTTCTATTCTAAATTTAATTTGTACTCGGCATGAAATATCTACACGCCGAAAAAAAAAAAATATATATATATATATATATATATATATATATATATATATATATATATATATATATATATGTGTGTGTGTGTGTGTGTGTGTACGTATGTATGTATGTATGTATATGTACGTATACATGTATGTATGTATATGTATAAAGAAAAGTTAGCCAATGGCAAAAATAAAATAAAATGATTTCAACAGAAATATTTACGCTGTACAAATATCACACGTTCGTCTTTAAAAAAAAAAAAAAAGAAAAGAAAACAATTTAATATGACATCAATTGTGCTCTTGGGAATAATTTTGTCAGGAAACATCTATTCAATTGCAATTTCTCTAAGTCACGAGTCGTAATGTTGGATCAGTGAGATTCAACATGTACAATATCAACAGAGCGTCATCTTTTGGACAAAACGAAACACACGTTCTCACGACCTCCTCTTTAAGTAACAAGATATATTGTTAAGTAATTAATAATTTTACTGTCACACGATCTATGTATACGTCTTGTGGCACACCGCTTATTTTCTTTGAAGCACGTGTGCGTCCATTCCAGAAAGCAATTCTAAGAATTTACCTTGATGCAGAAATGTATCGCGTGTCGTTAAAAAGACAAAAATAAAACACGTATATTGAGGTTTTCGTAAACTTAATTTTATTTGCTAAAACAAATCATAAGTAGCCTTACGTTGAAATTTCTAGCGGAAACACAATCAATGGTGTCCCATGTAAGGGTTCGAATATTCAGAGTAGCAGTTAATGTGTTATTAAATTCTAATGTGTTTATCAAAATAAAGCGTATGAAGAGGTTTATAAGAATTTTTAATGAAAATTAAAAAAAAAAAAACATGCACGATATTATAACCATTTTCTAAACGTACTTACATGTGGTACAAGGCCGAATTTATGGAGCACCTAGTGAGATTCGAACTCACTACTCACTCGTATTTGATATATCAAGACAAGTTTACTAACCATTACATCACAGTGCCTCAAAACGATTTTCTAAGCATAGCATAGATGTGGTACAAGGCTAAAAGTGATGAGCACCTAGTGGGGTTTAAACTCATTACTCAGTTGTGATTGTTCTAGCGAGTCAAGCTTGTTAACCATTACACCAAATCGAAGTGCCCACTGACTTTCTAAGCGCATGGATGGACTTTGAAGATGGAAGCCAAAGTATAAATGCTATTACTGAAATCTTGATTTTTTCCTCTCACCATTGCTCAGTTGAGAAGACAGTGAGCCTGACACAGAATGAGTTAAACCTACTCTCTTTTTAGCTAAATAACTCAAAGGTTTTTTCAGTCATTCTTACGACAAATGTTCTCAAGATAAATGAACGTATCGCACCCGGCCGGAAGTTACTGCCGGCTACTCAAACGTATAAAAGCGTCACCTCGGAAAACATGACGAATGTCGTTAACTTCCGGTGACTCAGCGTTTTTCAGACAACGACTCACACAAACTCAAAACAAACGAAACATTTACATACACGAGCCTTCCTAACCAAAAATAATTACCAGAAACTACTTTATATACACATGGGTGTCCGAATGAAACCCATGTGTACAGTCAAAAAGTAGAAGGTAATTTTTAGTCATCACCCCAAAGATATCGCTAACCGGCTACGATGCCGACCTCAGCCTATATAAACACAGCCGATTTCTTCCACCAAATGTATCTCACTTGGCGGATTTTGGCCTCGGGGTTGAGCGACGAGCTCCCCCTCACCTTCGCTGACCACACGAAGCAGCCAAACCTAGCAGCAGCAGGCCGACCCAACTTCAGCAGCAGCAGGCCGAACCAGCTTCAGCAGCAGCAGCAGGCCGAACCAGCTTCATTAGCAGCAGCAGGCCGAACCTGCTTCAGTAGCAGCAGCAGCAGGTCGAACCAGCTTCAGTAGCAGCAGCAGCAGGCCGGCCCAACTGCAGTAACGAGCAGCAGCAGGCCGACTCAACTTCGGCAGCAGCAGCAACACCCTGCTACATGATATGCACTAGTCTACGCTCGGCTACAGGATATGCACTTAATAGAACTACCAAGCTGCGATCTTGCACGACGTTCATACCTAGGACGAACAGACTTCGCCAGCGCCGTCCGCGTCAACCCTCTCTCTCTTCCTAAGCGCCGACGCGCTTTTTACAAAAGTGCAGACATCCGGAGATCGACTGGACCTCGAACATCGCTGTTACATTCGGCCTACCTCCGAGCTGTCGCTTTGAAACCTGACAACCCTCCTTCAATTGATACTCTCTAACTACACGACCGAACTCCAGCAAACTTTTGCCAGATTATTTAATAAAACTTGGCTTAAACTTTTACATCCTCGCCTTTGTTGTCCTTGATTCTATCGTATTACCCTATATTATTTTTCTGCTTGCTGGGTTACAGGCACCTACTTAACGCCGCAACAAACAGCTTCTCTGAAAACCGGGCAAAGAGATGGATAGAGTTACACGATTTGGACAATTTTGTTGTTACGCCCGTTGTATATATATATATATATATATATATATATATATATATATATATATATCCTAACAAAAAAATAAAGTTAATCATTACACTAAATCAAGTACATTCAACTCAAATATATTCGCAATGATTCTTCTCCCCCGGTTAGCGATTTGCAAAAAAAACAACAACATAGTTTACAAATTCAAGTGCTCTTTGGGAGATTGTATCTCCAATGGATTAAATAACATTTATGTTGGTCACACAACAAACTCGCTTTCACGACGCCTGACACTACATTTGAATGAAAACTCTAACATTTTTTAGACATTTAAAACAATATGCCTGGCCGCATACACAATTCCGGAAATCCTTGTTGAAAACGCATGCGAAGTACTAAGAAAAAATACGAAAAAAGACTAAATAATAGCGAAATTATATGTTTTGTTTAAATTAATTTGACAAGGGTATATATATATATATATATATATATATATATATATATATATATATATATATATATATATATATATGCAAAATGTCTGACAAAAGATGGTGTCTGGTGATTTTCATTTTTTTTAAATTGCATGAAAAAAGAATTTATCGTCAGTCATGAATCGAAAGATTCATGATCGCTAAACGTATGTGACACATGGCACATAACTGACTGACTGACATATATATATATATATATATATATATATATATATATATATATATATGGATCGTGATTACGATTCCAATGTAATAAATTATAACCATGGAATTTGAGCCTTTTTATTATATCTTACTCTGTCCTGGACATTGAGTTCTACTTGGATTCTATCATCTAATACTACCTGGATTTACTAAAAAAAACAATATAATTTACATGCCTGAGGATGACAGTTGAATGTAATAGGAAATTAAAGAAAGACCTCATACAACTTGTAGTTATTAAAACCAAGGATCATAACATTCATCGAGTGGTTCGTAGGTTAATGTAACTTTAAAATTTTGTTTGCGAAGAGTTTTCGTCAATTTAGATCATTAACTTTACTAATCTACTTTTTGTATGAATGATTCATTGTAGTATAAACTGAACTGCACCACATATTTAATATATATACATATATATATATATATATATATATATATATATATATATATATATATATATATATATATATATATATATGTATGTATTATGTATGTATTTCTAAGATATATGGCGCTCTCTCAGCCAAAATTCAAACTCGCATTACCGATTTATTCACAAGAGTGATGATTTTCCAAGCGTAGCTCAGATGTGGCACAAGGCCTAAAGCAGTGGGTGGGACACCGAGATGGGATCGAACTCACTGCTCGTAATTGTTCCAGCGAGACAAGATTGCTGACCATTACACCACCTCGAAGTGCCTTTGATTTACCCACAGTAGACTTTACGCTACCTCGCACTTGTACAGCTTTTTAAATCACAACCCCCGCCTCGCACCAAGATCCATTTCAGCGAAATAAATGCCGAACGTGTACTGGCAAGTTCGCGTCCAAGACCATCAAATACAACGGTTAATATTGCTACAAGACTTGCATTGACGTTGCTAAATACATATTTATTCATGTGTAAAAAAACAAACAAAAAAAAAACTTATTTTATTGTCCGAAAAAAAATCCATAAAAAGATATGTCCCAGTTTGTTTTGCAAATATTTCGTTTACAGCCACCTGGGTAAGACGATAAACTACGTCCGCGTCCTGGGTAAGACGATAAACTATATCCGCGTCCGGGGTAAGACGATAAACTACATCTGCGTCCTGGGTAAGACTATAAACTACGTCTTTGTCCAGGGTAAGACTATAAACTACGTCCGCGTCCTGGGTAAAACGATAAACTACGTCCGCGTCCTGGGTAAGACGATAAACTACATCTGCGTCCTGGGTAAGACTATAAACTACGTCTTCGTCCAGGGTAAAACTATAAACTACGTCCGCGTCCTGGGTAAGACGATAAACTACGCCCGCGTCCTGAGTAAGACGATAAACTAATCCGCATCTTGGAGAAGACGAAAATTACATCCACGTCTTGGTTAAGACGATAAACTACATCCGCATCCTGGGTATGACGATAAACTACATCCGCGTCCTGGATAAGACGATAAACCACGTCCTACAGCAAGGCCTCTGATCAGGAGGTTTTGAGGAGCGTGGAACCACCTCTTAATTGCTGGTGTTCCCAGGTCCAGCCTGATCCAGGGTGGTAGCACCTGTTAGGGTCCCAGCTATGGGCAAATAGTTAACACCCAAAATTGTGTAAAAGTAGGTTTTAATACCAGAAATACTTTGTAATAAAAAAAATTATTACTAACCATAATGTTTGAAGGAAAAATTATTATCAGCAATACTTCAAAATATACCAGTAATACAAACAGCTATACATTCTTAAGAAGATGGATTCTACTCAAAAATATGAGTAATTGAATATATTCAAATATATACGTATACATACACACCTTTTTTCCTAAATTATCGCTATGAATCTATTTCAAAAATTTTGTTGGCATTAAATGACCCACTGAGGTTGATATGCCTTAAAACAAAACAACCAATCAACCAAATTTCGTGTATAGAAAACTATCTATTCCGGTTTTAACAGACCTTATCCAAATATTCTGTTGATTCGTGATTTCCGTGTCTTCCTCATTAATAATATATTGTGAGTATTTTTCTGTTGTTTACTCCTTACATGTGCAGCACGACTCAACAACATGCCAATTATGGGATTTTTTCGCCGACTTTTTAAAAAAAAAACAAGTAATTCAATAGGATATATCCTGATCTGGAATCTCGTCTACGTTGAATCAAATGTGATGTGGCTTCCCTCT